GTTAGTTTTGTTTGCTTGTTTATTGCAGCAAAACCAAGTATATTCATTCCGTTCCATCTGTAGATGAATGTCCACCTGAGACATCCTTGTTCTTCCTAAACCTTTCAAGAAGCTCCTTTTCATTCATGTTCAGGTGATCTTGGGAAGATGAGAAAATAAGCACATGTTTAATCAGCCAGAAAGAACGTTTTCTCAGCCAGGAAGTTGAGCAGTGTCCTTCAGCCTGGACAGCAAATGCCTTGGCACTGTTACTCTAGACCTAGTCTCAGACGGTTACACATCAGTGTCCTGCAGGATGTTTGCAGAGGCTTCCCGAAAGTAACACAGTCTAGCATGAGGGCAGCGGGTGCCTCACTGTTAGGTCCTGATCCCCAGGCAGCTGTGTGGTCATCCACTAGGACCCCTTCCAACCACATCTGACTTGGGATTGGTGAGGCTGGCTTGCCAGAGCAGCTGGCACGTGGTCCCTGCCTCTCCAGTGGCTCCTGGGCGAGGGCAAGGTTTTTTGATTAAAAATCATCTTTGCTATAGGAATGCTTCTCTACTGAAAAAGTCTGGCCCCAAGAAAACCAGCTTTTAGGATTATGGCACAAAACATTCTATCGCAAATCTCTCTTAGAGAAATCCACTCGCTCTGGGGAGTTTCAGCCATGACTGGATTCCAGGCACTAAGGCAGTAAAACGTCAAAAACTGACACCAAAGTTGTATAGGGTCAAAGTGATTAGAATCTTTTTCAGAGGAGCTTCCATTCAAACTATGAAACATGCCTGGAAACAAGATCTGCTTGTGGGGATGAGCTGTTCTGGAAAGAAGCTGCTGTTGCATGGAATTTCCTATTTTGCAACCAACAAACCTTGGCATTGGCATCGCCAGTCTGCAGAATCTGAGACAGCTGCTCAGGCCCAGATCAGTTCCTTTCCCTCATTCCATAGCACGGCACCTTTGCAGCTGATGCATGGAATCCACATCTTTTTTTTTTTTTTTTTTTTTTTGAGATGGAGTTTCGCTCTTGTTACCCAGGCTGGAGTGCAACACAATGATCTTGGCTCACCGCAACCTCTGCCTCCTGGGTTTAAGCAATTCTCCTGCCTCAGCCTCCCGAGTAGCTGGGACTACAGGCACGTGCCACCACACTCATCTAATTATTGTATTTTTACTAGAGCCGGGGTTTCACCATGTTGACCACGATGGTCTCGATCTCTTGACCTCGGCCTCCCAAAGTGCTGGGATTACAGGCGATCCACATCTATTTTTAAGCTTAACTCTGGCACAAGATGCAACAGTGAACAGACATCTGTCTTCTCTTTTCTCCTGTGCCCCTGGTGGAGGTGCTGATGAAAAGCAGTTCAGGGTGGACTCACCACTCGAGTGAGCCCACCTTTAGGTGACCGCTCAGCCCAGGGCAGTCCTTATGCAAATGCCTTGCTAACCGTTCTAGGACAAGTTTCTCTGTTCATGATAAAAAGGGAACCAATGAAAATGACAGACACTGAAATGAAAGGCAGGCCCTCTGTCCACAAACCAGGGAAATTGCCTCGACCTCACAGTCCTCCAACCTGGCTCCGACTCAGAGTTCAAAGCCCACCTGAGGCATGTATGAAGAGCCACCAGGAAGGGAAAGAGTCCCATCACCAACTCCCAAAGCACCTTGGTGTCCCTCAGGCCAGACTCCCCATGATGTGCACGCCAGACACTGCCACACTGATGGAACATGAAGAATAATCAAAAGGTAGGGTTTACTCTCAGAATTTATGTGATAGATTCACACATTTTAGGTAAGGTAGGAAGGCTTTATCTTTGGAGTGATTTTCCATTCTAGCTTTAGCCATCGAGCAGGAGAAATCTGGTTAGAGGAACATGATTTGGTTTCATGAGGAAGCCATGGACAAAACTCAGTGCCACGGTTCCAGGAGAACATGCCACTTGTGCCCTAAGGACCAGCAGTAAGAGGGAACTTCAAAGGAATGTTGATGTTTATCCTGTCTCAAATCTTCCAGAGTTACTATGAGCAACTGCCCTGTGAAATCACTTCTGTCTGAATTTCTCCAGTAGACTTGCTGTTAGATGATTTGGGACTCCCATTTTTCCTCACATTTTCAGTAGCATTAAACATCTTTAGAAGAAAACCATTAGACCGACTGAGAGGGGCCGTGACAGTCTAGAAGTAAAGTGCTGGCTGTGTGTCCTTGAACTCTTTCCCCCAAAATCAGAGGTTTTCTTTTTTATTTATTTTTTTTTTTGTAAATAGATCATAAAATATTTGGAGAGGCATTTGTGTAAGATTATTTTTTCTCTTCTTACAGAAGTTGTTCACAAGAATATTAGTATCTTACGTTTCTCCCTAAAGGTTGTTCCTGGATCTAAGTGAAAAGAACTCACTGCTTGGGAAGCCCAGGAGGCTGGACTGTGCCTTACTTACTCCCTCAGAATAGGAGGTCAGTGTAGGTAAATGAAGCCCAGAAGAGTGTTACCAACTGCCCCTTTGCCTGCAGGGCAACCAGTTCCGAAAAATGAAAACTTTTCTATGGAGGCAGGTGCCAGCTAAGCCTACATTCTCTGGAATGCCTTGGCATTTTCTGCCAGAGCACCAGGTATGCTTGAGGGGAAAGAAAACTTACCCTCAGCATGCTAGGGTATGTTTCCATCTGGCCTCTCGACCCCATGACTCTACCTTCTATAGTTTTACAATTGGTTTCGGCCTATATAGTTTTTCTTTTCAGCAGTCAGTCTTCAATGTCAGCTTATGTAAGCCTCTCATGGCCTTTGCGTTTATCCATGGCTTCACACACAACTTACTCCCATTGATTCTATTCAGAAAACACTCAGACGCGTGAGCCAGGCAAGAGCCACACCAAGTATGTCACTGCTGGGATGACACGTAACACCCAACATTTTACATGAGCAACACTCCGGGACAGGCTCTGCCATCACACATGTGGATACCATCGCACAAACATCATTCTTAACTGAGAAAAAGAAGTACACTGTGACTGGCTTTTGTGCACATTTTACGATTCTTCATCACAGTGTAAAGAAGCCTCATTTTGTACCACCAGCCCCTAACAGTCAATTTCTCCCCACAAGATTCCACACCCCACGCCCAGATGGAGCAAGGAAACGTGGCGCGCAGCTGGGGTTCTAGAGGTAATTACTGAATAAATAGGTGACACACGGATCTATCCACATTCAAAAGGGATCTTCACCCCACCCCTTCTTTGAAGGATTATTTGAACAAAGAGCCAAGGGAGCCAAAGCCCACAGCATCCTTGCTGGTTCTCAGTGGGGACTTCAGTCCAGGTGTTTCTGGCTATCCACAGGCCGGTCATCTGGAGAATGACCAGCCACCTTTTCAGTGCCAAGGAGCAGGGCGGAATAAAGACGATAATGCTAAAATGGCAGTTCAATGAAATGAAAGCATCATACCAAGAACTCTCCAATTGCTAGGTTCAGATAACTCAGTGGTCTTAACCCAGCCCAAGGCATGAGCACTGTGAAGCCCATCCATCAGAAAAGCAACATGATAGCCACGTTGAGTTGATTCCTTCCACAGATAAGCAACTGAGGACCTCATTTGTTCAAAGTTTGGAAGCAAAGCCTGGAGGGTGATAAACGCCCTGCACTCAGGACACCACCTCCCCTGGTGTCACACTGGGACCCTCTCATGATGGAGAGGGAGATTTGGCTCTGCAGGGATGGACACCTTGCCACGTGTGGGTCTGCCCTGGATTCTCGGCTCAGGAACTTGGGGAAAGGACCCATAGGAGCTCAGGCAGGGGTCAGGACCTCATGCAATTGGGCAAAAATCCTGCAGCTGACTCCATTTTATCTTCCTGGTGTGGAGTTTCTCTTTGATATGCACCCTTAAGGGTGATAAGGCATTCCTCCTCCCCTCATTCTTTGTAGGCAGGCAGAGATGAAAGTTACCTTCCTATGTAAACTGATAGGATCGGTGAATCCACCCACTGAGCCACGCTTGGCGTCACCGAGATGCCCCTTGAGCTGGGGGCTATGATTTCCACACTGGGCCTCGCAGGGATATGTTTCCCCTTCAGCCTGAGGTGTCCCCTGACTACTCCACTATCAGCTGATTTCTATGTGTCCTTTAGAGCTGGGCCACCCTCATCTTCTGCAGGCTGAGGTCTGGTGCCCCACTAGAATCTGGGGTCACACAACACGCCTGCTGCGCTGCCTCCACCTCATGCTCACACAGACTCAAGCTGTCTGTTTGCCCAGGGGTCCCCTCCCTCGACTGTATCTGAGGTGGGGACAGTAAGTTATTTCTGAATACCTAGTACTTAAAATGTAGTCATGCTGCCTAAATAATGACTGGGTAAATGGGCCTGTGGGTGACCATTTGTATCTCTGTCTAGGTGCATTCCAGTATGTCAGACCATGACGACAGGTTTGTGCTGAATGAAAGTAGATCAGCAGCCAGTGACTCTTTCACATGCAAACAAGTACTGCACGCAGATGTTCAACATAGAGAATCCATACTGTTGTGGGCCCGCACTCAGACTCCAGCTGTGAGAATGTGCATACAAAAACAAAGCCGCTGTGCACCTTAACATGAATGTGTGACACCTGGCAACCACTCAGAACAGCAGTCCAGGTCGGTGAGTGAACGTGTGCTCATCCTTCTCTGAAGGCTTGCAAGCCTTCTGTGCCTTGGCAGCTGGAAGGACACACGCTAGGCTGCAAGCCAGGGTGGGGACAGCTACCCAAGGAGGCTTCCGGTGTGGTCTATCTTTCCAAGGGGGACTCACTGTCATGGCTAAAAGGTTACTGACCTCACATTCCAGACATGGATGGGGCCCAGGCCAGGGTGGATGGAAAAGGGAAAGGGGAGGGCAGGGGAGAAGGACATGATTGTGGACAGATGAACGGACCTGCCTAGGTCAAAATCCTGACTGCCATGAGTAGCTTTAGGCAGAGGTCACAAAACACACAGCAGGTGTTGACTGTCCCATGGCCACAGCAGCCCCCGTGGGCCGACACTCACCTGTTGTCCCCCGGGTGTGGCTGAAGTCGCCCTTCACCACGTGGCAGGTCTTGCCGTCCCCGCTGCAGACCCCGCATCGGTCCTCTTTGGCCGCAGACCCAATGATGCCATCACAGCCGATTTTCTAAAGAACCAGAGGGGCCTCCTTATTCTGTGGTTAAGACTCAGAGGGGTTTTAAAGAGGCTGCCCCACGAGGCTAACCTTTCCACGAGGCCCAGCAGGCATGGGGCCTGAGGCCCTGATCCATTCAAAGGCCCAAGAAAATATTTTAATTCAGGAGAGGAAAAAGAAACGCACAGAATCCAACCTGAATATTTGTCTTTGTATCCACATAATTGTCATGTGTATTTTCTGGTATTTGTTCTGGAGGAGGGAGACCCATGAAGGCACAAGCGTCCGTGGAAGTCACACTGAGACCTGACACCCTGACTTCTTGGGGGCAGAGACCGTGGGGAGGGAGTGAAGCCTGGACCCTCAGATCAGCTGGTGCAGCCACAGTTTCACATCATGGGGGCTCCCCTCCCGGCTGCGGGGGTGACCTGCAACTTGGCTGAAATAGCCAGCAGTCTCAGAATACGCAACAGAAACCACAGACTTTCCTACCAAGGTAGGGATGCCCACAGCTCACTCAGGCAGGGCTGGGCACGGGCCCCTCTTTTCTCAGGTAGGGAGACCGAGTCTACCAAGAGTCCCATCGCTCAAACCTTTTTAACAAGGCACGTCTGAGAGCAGAGGAGAGGCTGTCTCTACCCCAGGGGGACCTGAAAAGCACAGCCCACTTCATAAAAAGTAGAAAAAGGTTTGGACTTGTTTTTTTTTTTTTTTAAAGTGAGAATTTTGTATTATGTAAAATAACCTAAGTTTATACTATGGTAAACCCTGGGTATTTATCTACTAGATTGCTTAAATGTCCCTCCACATTTTCCCCCTATAAGGCTAACGCTTCAAGAACAAGGACTGGGTTCTTCTTACTGCCCTGCACCCCAAATTACATTTTGGTGCCTCAGACTCCAGAGGAATCTACAGCCAGAAATCAAGATCTAAGATAATCCAAGTGGAGGTGATTTAGCCTGTTCCCATGATGCCTAGACAAGGAGCAGCAGCACCATGCTTCCCCTCACAGCCAGGGCTTGGAGCCGGCACAGCGCCTGGGGTGCCAGGCTGCCTGCACATGGACCCCTGGAGGCAAGTGCCTGGCCCCACAACTCCCCAAAGACATCAGCATCCTCTGCTCCATTACGGCAGCACTTCTTCAACTTACGTGTGCATCGGACTCACAGGGAGGGCTGTTAAAACACAAATGGCCGTGTCCCAGCCCTAGAGCTTCAGACCTAGCAGGTCTGGGTGCACCTGAGAATGTGCATTTCTAATCAGCTCCCAAGAGAGGCTGAGGCTGCTGGCCCGGGGCCGTGCTAGGAGACCCGCTGCACCATGGCATGCTACTCAAAGGGACAGGGGAATGCGCTTCATGTTCAGTAGTCCTCAAGTCTCACCCTTAAAGCTATTTTTTTGAATAAGATTAAATGGGAAATTAACATTGTTCTGCCCAAAGTGACAGTGCAACTGAACAGATTCCAAGGAAGACTTTAAGATGTTCTAAAAACTGAGCAAGCTGAGTCTAAAAATGACCATTACGAAATCTGAAAAAGGGCAGAACATGAATAAAAGATCAAACTTGCTCAAAGTTAGTATACAAAGAGGAAAAGGGTCAACTCAGAGGCTTTAGTGGCCAGAGGACAGCAAGGAGCAAACGCAGAACAGTGGGCTTAATGGCAGCTGTGGAGACACCAGTAACATATCAAGACACAGATGGTAACTGGCAACCCACTGCAACGCTTTGCCAGCACAGACCAACCACAGTGACCTGGAGCGAAGCCGGCTGTGACGAGGCACCATGAGGCTGGAGCCCAATGCAGGGTCGCCTGGATTCTGGATGTGGGCTGCTAGCCAGCTGCTACCAAGTTGCTCAGTATAAAGATTACAGGGGCTGGCCAGGTGGGGTGGCTTATGCCTGTAATCCCAGCACTTTGGGAGGCTGAGGTGGATGGGTCACGAGGTCAGGAGTTTGAGACCAGCCTGGCCAACATGGTGAAAGCTGGTCTTTACTACAAATGCAAAAATTAGCTAAGCGTGGTGGCACACACCTGTAGTCCCAGCTACTCCCGAGGCTGAGGCAGGAGGATTGCTTGAACCTGGGAGGCGGAGGGTGCAGTGAGCCAAGATCGTGCCATTTCACTCCAGCCCAGGAGACAGAGCAAGAGTCTGCCTTAAATTAAAAAAAAAAGATTACAGGGGCTAAGAACAAAGAGTAGCCAAGATCAGAAAATGTCCCCCAGCAGCGTTCAGCAAACGCCCAGACCAAATCCGTGAGACCACATATCTGCTTCTTTGCTCCACTTCAGAGCCCCAGTGCGTGCTCTCCAGACCTGCCTCCAGTAGGGGCGCAGGACCACTGTCCACAGAGCTGGTCTCTCCCTGGCCTCCTTCCTGGCACCTGTTCCGGCTCCCACCTGGGCTTTCCCATGTCAGGTGCTGCCTGCTCTAGACCTTCCCTACACTGGCTTCCTGTCATTTCCACACCACACCCCTGCTTGGCAGGAGTGGGCCTCTGGCTTCAAGTCTGGCTCCTTGTCCTGCACCTCAGTTAAGGTTTCCTGATTCTACAGCTTCTAAATGCCCCGTTTGGTTCAGTTTCCCCCAGCCCCAAGGGAGGCAGCTTTTCAGGTCAGGTGCAAGCAGGAGTGCTTATAGGGAGGCCCTTTCAGTTAATTCTGGAGACCACGCAGAGGCCAGGACAGGTCCATGGGTTCCACCCATGCCACTTGGTGCTATTTGAGAGGCTGTCTGCATCTGGAGGCAGGAAAGGCAGGAATGTCCATGTCTGAACAGCAGTGAGTCTAAGAGCTGATGAGTGACAGCCACAAAATCTGTCAACGGGGGCATTTTGTTCCATTGTTTCAGTCAGCGCAAGCAACCTATAATCTTGGCAGAAAGTGGGATGGTTTTCCGTTTTTCGAATGGAAGCTGCCACAGGACACAAGTGAAGTCACTACTTCTGAACATCAGGGGAGCTTGCATGATTGTATTTAAGAGGCTCGGCATTCTAAGAGAACAAGATGACTGAGCCCAAGGAAACTGTCTTTGTTGCACATGTATTCGTTCATCCACGACAGTTACTGGTCTGCTACGTGCCTAACCTGGGAATAATGACGTGCCAGACAGAGGGACGCAGCAATGTGCAAACAAGCGGACACTCCACAGCGTGTGCCTGAAGGTGCCCCGGAGGCCAAGCATGGCTCCTGATTCTCCTCCCACCCCCTGGATGGCCCCTCCTTCCCCTTGCTTCTTTGACTGCCCGAAAATGGGTAGCTCCCCAGGGGCTCCCTGCTCCTTTTTTATTTTCTTGGTAATTCACCTTCTCCTTGGACTGCAGCCACCACTCTCATGCAGAGAGCTCTTAATCCCACTTCTCCCCTCACCCCACCCCACTTCTCCCCAGTAAGCATCTGCTGAGCAAGCTCTCTGAACTTCCAAGGCGACTTCTCCAAAGCTGCCTGACTTAATTCTAGTTGGACACCCCTGCCACTGTCTTAGAACTGACAGGTATCCTAGCCGGAAGCCTGCAAGCCATTTCTGACTCTTCCATTTTGGGATGCACCCAGTTAGCTGGTGAGCTTGCGTTTCTGTCCCCGAAAACCTCCAGAGTCTACGTCTCCTCCTTGCTCTTCTCCACACCCGAGTTCACACCCTCCTGACTCAGGACATGAACGATGGGAGCATTTTTCTCCCACCTGCTGCCAGCCTAATCCCCACATGAGAAGAGAGAGGAGATCTGTGGCCACAGACCCCTACTGCCTAGCAGAAACATCCACACACTTACAGATTTAAGACTCTCTGTGATCTCACCCCAGCTGTTCACCAGCCGCCCTTCCTCCCCCTCCAGATGTACAGTGAATCCAACGCTCTCCAGCCCCCTCCTGCAAGCCCCACCCCAATGACCCCTCAGCCAGGTGGGCTGCCGGAATAGCCTCTTAACTCATTTCCCAGGATCTGCTTGGGTCAGTTACCCATAACCAAGATCACTTCCCTGCTCCGCTTCAATTCTGCCTGGGCTCTGTCTCCTTTGCGGCAGCCTCTGCCCTCCTCTGTTCCTGGAATGCACCCGCCTCCCTCTTGCTTCCCTCTGCCTGGAGCTCTGTGCCCCTACCTCTCTGCCAGGCTGGCTCTCCCTCAAAGGCTGTCTCCTCTAAGAGACCTGCTATGCCCCTGCTCACTGACTCCTCGGCCACAGTCCCCCAGTGGGTCTCTCTACGGCGCTGCTTTCCTTTCTTCTTCACAGACACCAATCTCTGGAAAGATCACGTTTGTGAGTTGACATGGGACAGGGATCCTCTTGGTCCTGCTCCCCAGTGAAAGCCCAGCACATGCTATGGTGTGCAGCACGCAGAATGTCTTCAACAAACACCTGATGCAGGAATAAATGAAACTCTACCTTAGGCGTTTTCTGCAGTCTAAGTGGAGCCTCCCACCGGCTATTAAATGACGCCTTCACCTCTGGTCACTGGGTTTCCGTGTGAATTCATGCCATCTCCCTAACGGGCCATGAGCACACGGAGGACCGTGTCTGAGGATTCTCCGTATTCTTGGCCCTCTCCTCTCCCGACACACACAGTGGCCGGTGTGGTGTTGAGCACACACGCGTTCAGTTGTGTACAAACGACGGCGTCTTACAAAGCTGGGCAGTTTACTTTTTCTCACACTTGAACTGGGGCTTCCTTGCACACATTTTGATGGTACTTGTTTATTTTTTCTGGCAGGAATAAGCAGTACTTGCTTTCTTCAACTTATCAGCTATCTTCCAACTCCCGCCTCATCCTATCTCCTCTGTTGGAGCGAGGCCACTGACTTCCTGACTGACGTTTAAGTGAATGCAGACTTCAGGCCAGCTGCGCAGCTGTCACTCCAGGCTCCACTGGGCTCCAGGGTGAGCGTGGCCAGGGCCTGTACTGCCCATCTCCCTCTTTCTTACTTCATTCTTGTTTTGCTAAACGACATGTAACTTCTGCAGAATGGATGCATGGAAAATACAATTTCGGAGTTCTTCCGCGTTTCAAAATGAGGTT